GTGTGTCCTGTGCCGTGTGTCCTGTGCCGTGTGTCCTGTGCCGTGTGTCCTGTGCTGTGTATCGTATGCCGTGTGTCCTATGCTGTGTGTATCTGCCTGTCTGTCTTCCTTGCCTCTGCGCCGTTGTTTGTGGCACAGAGATTAAACCCAGGGCTTTGAATGGACTAAGCAAGTGCTGTACCACTTAGCTGCCTCCCAGCCCTGGCGGATATTTCTTTGTGTTTCCTGAATAACTCAGGAATTACTCAGCTTCTTGGATATGTAGGGTTATTCCATCCATAAATTTGGAAGGTTTTCAATATTTTTCAAATATTGTTGCCATCTTCCATTCCTCTCCTTTGGAAATTCAAATTGTACTTAATATTATCCTGCTTGAAGTCATGGTGTACTGGCTGGACTCTGTCAGAATTGTTTGAGTATCTTTATCTGCTAACGTTTATTTGAGTTTGTTTCAGTTGGCCAGCTTACCTCATTAGGTAACCTATTCCCTTGGTACTTTCCATGCCTTGTAATTTGTTAGATGCCCTATAAAATACCATTGACAGTGATCACACACACACACACATACACACACACACACACACACACACACACACACACACACACACACACACACCCTTATCTGTTTTAACATTTGTTGTTTGTTTCCTTGACTTCTTGGGTTTATTTATCCTTCTCGTCAGATTGAAACAGTTTTTCTAATATCCTCTGTAGAACTGGCTTAGTGGTCATAAATCCTTTAGTCTAGGGATCTCAACCTGTGGGTCACAACCCTTTTGAGGGGTCTAGTGTGACCTTTCCACAGGGGTTGCCTAAGACCATCGGAAAACACAGATATTTACATTATGATTTTTAACAATAGCAGAGTTACAGTTAAGAAGTAGCAATGAAAATAATTGTATGGTTGAGGGTCACCACAACATGAGGAGCCGTATTAAAGAGTCGCAGCATCAGGAAGGCTGAGGACCACTGCTTTAGTCTCTTTATCATGGAAAGTTTTTATTTCTTCTTCAATTTAATTATTTTTTAAAGTCCGTCCCGTCCCCTGTAGCCTCCCTGCCCCCACCCCCAAGGTTTCTCTGTGTATCCCTGGCTGTCCCGAAACTTGCTCTGTAGACCAGACTGGCCTTGAACTCACAGAGATCCAATGCATTTATGAATTCAGGTGCCCAAGGAGGTCAGAGGCGTCGGATCCCCCGGAAGTGGGCTGTAGATGGCTGTCAGCCTCCTGACGTGGGTGCTAAGAACTGACCCCGGTCCTCTGGAAGAGCAGCAATGCTCTTAACCACTGAGCCCTCTCTGCAGCCCCTCTCTTTCAATTTTAATAGGTTGTTTTTCTGAGAATAGTCGTCTGGCTGACAGTTGTGGTCTGTCAGGACTCGGAGAACGTCTTTCCAGGCTCTTCTGCTTTAAAGGTTTCTGTCAGTATTATTCTATTATAATCAGATGTTTTTTCATGGGCCTGCCTTCCCAGGCGACTTGGATATTCTTTCTTGCAACTTTAAATATCCTTTAATCTATATTTTTAATGTTTTAACTATACTATATCATTTTTTTTTCGGTTTTTGTTTGTTTGTTTGTTTGTTTTTCTGCTCTTGTTTATTTGATGTCCTCTAGGTCTCCTGTTCCTGAATGGGCATCTTTTCTCTGGGTGTGGGGAATTTTCTTCTCTGATTTTATTAAAGATACTCTCTATTCTTTCTCTATAGTTTGCCCCTTTGTGCCATAATGTGGAGGTTAGGTCTTTTAATGGAACCTCAAACTCTCCCATGTTCTAGAAGTTGATATTTTCTTGTACAACTTTCTCATGACTTTTACCAAGAAACCCAGTTCCTCTCCTCGGTCTTCTGTCCCGACTGATTCTGACGAGACCTTTCTGTTGTGCGTTTCCACTGAGGTTTTAATGGACTTACTGAGGTTTCATTTCCAGGATCACTTCAGTTTGGGTTTGCCAACAATTCAAACTCTTATTTTCCTATTTTGGATTGGCTTTTTCATTCCATTCATCTTTGTCTTTGAGATGTTTGCACGTAGTGAAATCATTCTTTTAAATTCTTTGTCTTCTAGGTCATTTTCATTAGGAGCCATTACTGTTGATTTGTGTTTTTTTGGAGACATGTTGCTTACTTATTTATTTTTGTATGTGTGGGTTTGTTTGTTTGTTTTATGGCTGTGTTGGCATTTGTCTATCTGTAGTTTGGTTTTGATTGAGATTTTCTGTTTTGTTCAGGTCATCTTTTTTCTTTTAGTGGAGGAGTTTACATTGCTCAGGATTCATAGCAGAGTTGAAAATGAAGCATCCTGTCTTTGTCTTGTATTTGATGCTACAGCCTCCGTTCCAGGTCTTTTGCTTGTCTGCTACAGCCTGGTCTCTTCATTCTCGGTCAGGAGCTTGAACAAGTTTCCCCTGGGTCTAAAGGCCAGATAGGACAACTAGAGGGTCCCAGTCAGGCAGCTGGTAGGACTCTGGGTCTCTGGGTCATGTGGGGTGAGTGTCCCTGGTGGAGAGTGACTTGGGAGCGGGTGACTTTGGAGAGAAAGGGGCCAGGAGGAGTCGGTGGTCCTTAGCAAGCAGCTGCCAGGCCTGGGTTACTCGTGTGGTGGGGGTCTAGGTGTGTAGGTAAGCCTGCCGCATGTGTGGTAGCTGGAGAGTCCCTGGTGGAGTGAATCAGTTTGTAAAATAATTTTAGGCAGCCTTAATGCTGAATATCTAGGTTGATTCTGGGTTTTGCTGCTATTAATAATTTACAAATAGTTTCTGTGTATTTTTTCTCCTGAGTGTTGTGAAGGAATAAGAGAATGTTGATAGTTGTGTTTTCCTGAAGGGAGAGTGAGTTTACAAAGCTATCAGTGATTGTCCACATGTGTCCACACTTGACTGCAGCTCTGAAGACTGTATGTCATTTCATAGGATGCCTTTTACCAATATGTGTGAAACAACTGACCGTTTCCGGGGCTTGTATGTGTGTATGTGTGTGTGTTGGTTTCCTGGTGGTATAAACATTTGCCTCTGGGTCCATGTGTGTATGAGGAAATGCCAGCAGAAGATGGAGAGATACGAAGAGTCTGGTTTTGGTCTTTCAGCTGACCTTTGCATCTCTCTTTCAGGCACCATCATGACTCTAAGCGGAGGAGATCAGATGATTTTAGGCCCCAGAATTACCACCAGCAGGATTTCCGACGAATGTCTGACCACCGACCCACGATGGGTTACCACGGCCAGGGACCCTCAGACCATTACCGCTCTTTTCACACAGACAAGTTGGGGGAATATAAACAGCCCCTGCCCTCACTGCACACTGCGGTCTCAGATCCTCGCTCACCTCCTTCCCAGAAATCTCCCCATGATTCCAAGTCACCCTTGGATCACAGGTCTCCTTTGGAGAGATCACTAGAACAGAAGAACAACCCCGATTATAACTGGAATGTTCGGAAAACATAAAGGACGGCTCCGCCGGGGAGAGGTGGCAGGAGCCGTCAAGCACTTGGACGTTCTGGCCTGGCCCAGCGGGGGCCGGTGCTCAGGCTGGGAGCGGAGTGTTTGGATGCACTGCTGCTGAGTCCCTGAGTTGGCGGCTGAAGGAGCACTTGAGGGAGTGGAGGCCCTGGTCTGCTGCTTTGGTTTGGCCTCCACTCCTGCACTTTGGCACCCATCCCACCCTCGCCTCTTGTGGCCTCCCACCTCCGAGGGTGCTCGGAGGAAGAGGCGACTTTCTGTCCCCGCTGCATCGGGCTGCTTCCCCTGGGAAGGACTCGGGGATCTTGAGAGTCAGTGAATGTTAGAGTCGGCATGAGTGACCAGGGCGAGGACCTGCTGGACAGTGTGTGATTGGTTCACTATGACACGAGGGATGCTGCTGATGGGAAGTGGGGGGTCACAGGGCGGGGTTCACACTGCAAGACTTGAAAGGGGAGCAGGCATACCCCTCTGCTGTGTTCTTGGGAGAAATGATACACTTGGTCTCATTATGTGAAGGGGGTGGGGATAAAGAGACAGGGAATAACTTCCACCATGGCCTCCTACCTGCCAACACTAATTTTTTCCGTACTATCTTTGTACATTTCAAAGGTTTGGTCTCCTGGTGGGGTCCATTTCCCTCTTTGTCAGGGAAAGTTGGATCCCTCTGGCTGATTTTAGAGTACTGTGACTTTGGCGTCATCGGTGCCAGGTCTTACTTGTTTGGGGAGTGGGCTGAGTGGGTGTGGGGTGGAGATGGGGGTGGGGTAGTGTGACCAGGAACTAGGAATCCCTGGTGGGTTTCTGGTTCCTGGGTTGAGAAGGAAAGTCACAGGTCCTGGAGATGGAAATGGAGGTGGCCTGCTGATGAGATTCCTGCTGGTGAGCCCAGGGGTGGGGCACTCATGCAGATGGGGGTGGGACTCCTGATGTGGGCGGTGGTAGTGCCAGCAAGCAGGGAGCGTTCAGTGTTGGAGTGGGTCAGCGAGGGCACTTGCATCTCGGTTCCTTTACACAGCTTGAAGAGGCAGACGGGCTCTCTGGACCCACACCTCTCGACAGTGGAGGTGCAGTCATGAAAACAGCTACTCATGTGGTTACATTGCCATTGCAAGTTGGGATTCAGTAGAATCAAACCCTGCCGCTTTAAGATCTGTAGAGTATAAGCCTAAGTTAATTTTTTCCCAAATCCCAAGCATCCATGACAGGAGTAGCTGAGCTGTATGATGGCAGGAGGCCTGTGAGGGTCAGGCTGGGTCGGGGTTAGGGGGAGGGCCGCTGGTGGGTTGCATCATTGAATGGCTCTTCTCAGTGGATGGATAACTGGGTCGGCCCTGTGGTTTTACTCACTTTCAGTATAGCTTGCCAGTATTGTTAGGGTATCCAAAGCCTTTCTAGATGGAGACAGCAAAACTGACTTGAACATATGGTATGGTGTGCCTCTGTAAGCTCATTCTGAGTTGATGAAGTCTTGTGTTGGACATACACAGGATTCGGCTCTTGGGGAACTCCCTGGGGGACAGGGTGGGGCCCGTCCTGGGCAGTACCATTAATGACTTTCCCAAGACAAGCTTGAGTGGTGTCCTTGAGTGCATCATCTGGCCGTGGTATGGCTGTGGTGGGCCATTGCTTCTGCTGCTTAGAGTAAGTACCAAGGACCTGCAAGTCAGTCCTTGCAGCCAGTGCTCAGCAGACCATCACCTTCTTGATCCTCGTGGTCCTTCACCCTGACCATGTACATGCATGACTGCCCTGGAGTTCCCTGGCTGTCGTCTCCTGCCTGGTGGCCTGCCATGACTTCTCAGTTGAAGGCTGAAAGTCTGGTCCCCTTTGGCCACACAGTGAAAAGTGAACCATAGATGGAGCTTCTTGCTGATCACATCAACACTAGTCTGTTTGGCCTGCTGTGCTCTGAGGTGCTGGGAGCTCAGCAAGAACAGGAGGTCCCCTGTGGAAGGTGGAGGGCTTTGCCTTTCCGTACTACCTAGGTCTGTCTGTCTTTCAACTTGTTGGTAGAAGTTACACGTTATTCTCAAAGATGTCTCATCATGAGGAAAAAGGATCTTCCTTTTGTTCACGTTCAGGACTAAAGTGCCATAAAGTGCAGCAAAAGGCAATGTTGGCCAGATCAGTGTTACATTGATTCTAAGATTGCAGTATCTCCCACCAAACGTCTGTTCTAGGTGTTGACGTGTATTTGAAGGGTGGGTTGGAGAAAGGAGGCATTCCTCTTGCTTTAGACCAGCATGTGCATCACATGCTTTACACGGAAATTTGCACAGGCGGGAGACGAAGCCCGTGGAGCTCTGCTGGGCCTAGCTGGGCAGCCCGTGGTTGAGGAAATGGCGGGACTTGAGGAGAGGGGGTGTTGCCAAGGCCTGAAGTACTGTGATGCACTGTGACCCTAGAAAAGGACGGTGATGTCTCTGCTGATCACTGTGTCCTCTCATTGGCCAGCCTGCGGGAGCCCAATCTCATGGTCCTTCCTTGGACTCTGTGTAGTCAGTCATTCCTTAAGCCCCGCCAAGGGAACGCAAACATTTCTCACTGTGCTGCTGATGTTCTGAGCTGGTGTGGCTGGCAGCTACATCAGGCCGTGCAGAGCAAAGGTGATTCACTTAAGTGTTCACACACAGCAACACTGAAATCCTATAGACCAAAACCCACTTGTCAGCAGGAGCCGTGTCCAGGCCCAGCACCCGTGGGCTGCTAGCTCATCCGAGGCCAGCTGTATCGGGTGAAGAGAGCCATGCCAAGGGTCCAGGCTGCTTTAGTCCATCTGTGCCCTACCCATTTGGGAACAGGTGGTTTTTCTTGTAAACTTGTGGACTTTTGAAACCTGTTGACTAAACAGTAATTAATTTATATTTGTGAAAAATGCCACTGTCCTAGTGATTTCTGATGTAAATAATGTTGTTTATATAGTATGTATTAAAATTTTCCTACATTGTAAAACTGCTGTACTTTTGATTTTTGTGTGTTAACAAGCGTTACTAAGGGTTTTTAGAATAGGGCTAACCGGTTGCATTACGTTCTGGTGTAAGGCAGATGCCTTGAGGATGCTTCCTTTCCCTTCCCTTGCTGGTGGCATGGCCATGTGTCCAGACCGGTTTACAGCTTCATCGATGGAGTTTGTTTCTAAGTTACAGTTTTGTTGGTAGTTATAGTTTTTTGTCCCCGAACAGCTCCAGGCCACAGTCCAGAGCTGTGCACTTCATGAGACAGCATGGAGCTATTAAAGCTGGTAGTCATGCAGGAATGCCCTGAGCTGCTCAGGGTGGGGGTGGGGGTGGGGCCCTGGGGAGGCCTGCCTCCATTGTCCACCTCTGTCCAGAAGGAAGTAAAGCTATCAGACCTGCCAGCCTGCGGCTCTAGTTAACGGTTGGGCTATATATCCGTGAGTGGGGAAAAATGCTTTTCTAATGGGGACAGTGGCACAAATGTGAACCTGCAGTTTGGCACAGAGGCAGGCTCAGCTCCGACATGGCCCAGACAGAGCAAAGGTGGCCTGGTCTGTGGGTGGAGAGCCTCCTTGAAAGGAGAGTCTGAGAATCTTGCCCAGACCCAAGTGACTTTGAAACCAAACTCACATCTCTATTAACCCAGGTTTATAGCAGCGACGGGTCAGCTGCTGGGACTCCACCCTGCTAGCTATCCCGGACCCTTGGGTGCAAGAGGGCAGTGCTAAGCCTTGCCCGGCCATGGGCGGCTGGATCTGTAAGGCCTGTAGTTAGTTCCTGAGTGGAGAACTAGCGTAGAGAGCCGTTCCTGTGCAGAGACGGCTGGTAATCCCTCTGTCCTCCCCAACGCAGCTGGAATGGCTCTGGGAAACTTTGAAGAACAAGTGCTGTAATCATCGGAGTATTGTGATTTACGACAGCGCCAGGGCTCCCAGGGCTGCTGCCGCTGCCAAGATGCCTGCCTTTTACTGGAAGCCGCAGGCCTGGGGCCCCCACCCCCCAGGCCCTCCTTGGCGGGGACTCAGATGCTTGGCAAACACCACGAACCCTGCTCAATTAGTGCCAACAGAAAGGTCACTTACTGAAAACTAAGGACCAGCCGTTTGCCAGCAAAGGACAGAGCCTGTGGCTCTTAAAGGAGCCTTGCCACTGAGGCTTTACCTGAAAGGCCCTTCCGTCTTATTGCAGGTCAGAACTTTTAGGATCCATGCTGCCTCCTGGCTTGCATGGTGGTTTTGTGGAGTAGTCGGTGGATACAGCTGAAACAGATAAAACCTTCCCGCCTATTTCTGGTCAAGATGGAGCCCTGTCTAGCCCCTGTTGGTAGGACTCTCAGGCGACAAGTCTTGGGGTTTTCCTTGTTATTCGTCCAAATGGCTTGTCCCTGATCACACTGCTCTCTGGCTTTGTGTGGAACAAAAATATCAGGTCTACAGTCTTTACCTGCAATGTGTCCAGAGTGGATAGCTGTATCTCAGAGTGAGCAAGCATGGGGAGAATTCACATGGGTTCTCTGCCTTCCCTGCTAACTACAGGCACCATGGTGGCGTTTGGGTGGCATAAAGGAACTCACAGGAGTCAGCCCCGCCCCTCCTTTTGTCCCTGGCAGGAAGCATCTTTAACTGCAAATTGATGTGTTGTAGAGTGTGCATATAGGGCAAAAGAGCAGGTCTAAAGGCCACCAGAGGGCGACAGTGTTCCATTCTTAGCTGGGGATAGAGCCAGAGGGCAGCTGGACACGATGATGACTAGGACAAAGCATGCCTGTCTTGGAGGGCAGCCCTTGCTCAACATTGAGCCCCAGTGGCTTGAGAAAGAAGCTTCTGCAAAGCCAAGCCACTGCTTGCTCTGGAACACAGCAGGGACAGCAGCCACCCCAAGAGCTCCAATGAAACCAGAAAGACACTGTTGGGACCAGATCCTGGAGATAAGGCTGTCCATGTGAGTTCTGAGCCAGAAACATGGACCCTGTCTTTCTGGAGCTGATACTTTAGGTGGGGTGGGTACTCGAGACAAGCAGCTTGACTGTGAGGGAACAGAGTGTCACCTAAGGGAGAAAATAGGCAAGGTGCTGGTGGCCAGCCTCAGGCTGAGGGGATCAGAGAGGGCCCCTGGACCAGTCAGTGGGTGCGAGGCGTGTGCCAGACTGAGACTTGAACCTAGGCATTTGTGGTCCCCTCACACCTGAGCGTGCATGACTAAATGTGCATCCTGTTAGCCTCACAGTAGGGGCTGAGGTAGCAGTGACGGACGCCCCGCAGAACCCACAAGATGGGCTTGGCTGGCCACACTGTCAAAGGGAGAATGATGGGGCCCCTAGAGGCACTGGAAAGGAGAGACCTCTCTTGTTTGCTTTCTATTTCTCTGATAGACACAATGACCAAAAGCAACTTAGGGCGCTAAGTGGTTTGTTTCCACCATGCAGAGAAGTCAGGGCAGGAACTACAGCAGAGACCATGGAGGAACACTGCATACTGACTGACTTGCTCGATCTTCTTATACAACCCGGGACCACCTGCCCAGGGGTGGCACCACCCACAGTGGGCTGGGCCCTCCCACATCTGTCATTAATTAAGAAAATGCCCCCCACAGTCTTGCCTATAAGCTAATCTGATGGAGGCAGTTTCTTAATGAAGATACCCTCTTCCTAGATAGCTCCACTTTTTATCAAATTAACAGAAAACTAACCAGTAACACCCCCCCCCCAAAAAAAAAAACAACAAAAAAAAAACACTGGAGCCTTGGCTATTATAGAACCTAGCCGCCTCAGCATCAGACACATCGTCCCAGAGTACATGTGATTCTAGAACCGTCCTGCAGAGGGCAGCAGACGTCCATAGAATTCCCGTTGAACTACAGCTAGTTCCCACCCTGCCCAGGAGAAGGCTCCCAGCAGACTGGAGCCACCTTGTTCCTGAAGGAGGGGATTGATTGTTCCATGAGAGGGGATTGAGAACAGCTGTGTACTTCCCGAGGCAAGCCTCCCTGTCTTCTCCATCCACTGCTCAGGACCTCCAGGTCTATCGTGACTCATGGTGTCCTCTGCTTTCTATAAGGTCTGTGGTTCCATTCCTGATCAGATATGGTGGGTGGGGGGATTCAGTAGGAGTCTTAGTAAAACCAGACAGTGTGAAGACAATGAGAGGTTCCACACTGAAAAGTTCAATGGAACTTTTGAATAGTTGAAAAGTTTAGGAGAGCCTGAGTATAGTTTAGTCAAGGAGAGACTAGATATCTATCAAGACCCAGCTACCCATCCAGTTTGCGTCACCCTCTCCAGTAACATCTCCGGCTGGGTCCCACAGGCCTTGCACCGGCATGCTCTCAGCTCCCCCAGTTTCCCCCGGGAGGAAATCATCCTGAACCGAGTTAGCAGAGGGCAACAAGGCTCAGTGACATGATGGGGCTCATGGTTAAGGTCAGAGAACCAGGCAGCTCTCTGCTTGAGAGGACTGGCGTACACGATTGACCTCCGCCCCTCCCTCTACTACAGGATGGAGGAGGAACAACTGGAATTCACTGTTGCCAGCATCTCACCACTAGAGGTCACCCACGAGACAGGACACCTGCATCCACTCTGGCCGCTGTATCCTCAACATGGAGCCCAGCGTTCAATGTCACAATATCATTAAACATTTGCAGAATATATGAATGTCCCCCGCCCCCCCCCCCCAAGTCGAGACCATGGCCAGCCACGTTGGGTAGCCTCCAACTGTCTGTATAGAGAAGAACCAGGAAGGACTCTTAGTCTTGTGTTAGGATAACACAGCACCTCTATGTACTTTCCCTGAGGGAGTCACTTCTAGTTATTAGCAAAGGGAAGGATGTGTGCACTCCAGAAGGCAGTTTTGGGAATATCCTGACCTTCACTAAGGAAGTGAGCTCTGTCTTGTAGACCTAGCTTGTGGTAGCTTAGGCCCCATCCAGTCTTGACATCCATGGGTCTTGCTCACCAAACCCTCTGCCGAAGCCTGCTTGGGTTTGAGAACCTGAAGCCTGGGAAGAGGGTGGCTGGACAGAGCTTTAGTGATGAATTGGTACTACTAGTACCTTCTGGCAAGTGACCACAAAATTTAGCTATTATGATGCTATTGGGGTGTCTCCAGTGTCCATGCACATTGGAAATGGGGACCACACTATACTGGCAGCCAGATTGTATGAGATTTGTTGAAAAGATTTGTTGCCAGCCTGGAAAACTGAATGGCTGCTTCTGAATGGTGGTGAGCCAGCTGAGGATAACCCACCAGCACACTGGCACATTCCTCCTTGGACCCTGTCTTAGAATTTCTGTTGCTATGACCATACACTCTGACCAAAAGGCAAGTTGGGAAGGAAAGGGTTTATTTGGTTTACACGTCCATATTGCTGCTTATCCTCAAAAGAAGTCAGGACAGGGACTCACACAGGGCAGGAACCTGGAGGCAGAAGCTAATTCAGAGGCCATGGAGGAGTGCTGCTTACTGGCTTGCTTTAACTAACCTTGTCTCTTATAGAACCAGGACCACCAGCCCACGGATGACACCTCCCCCATCACTAATTAAGGAAATGCCCTACAGCCAGATCTTATGGAGGCATTTCCTCAACTGAGGTTCCTTCCATTAAGACAATTCAAGGGGGAGGGAACAGCCGGGGACCTGTGGTTGGTATGTAAAATGAATAAAAATATTCTTAATCAAAAAAAAAAAAAGATAACTCTTTGTGTGTCAAGTTGATGTAAGACTAGTTACCACAGACCTCAGGTCTCTCAGACTTGAGATCTATTTAGGTTATTGTCTCAACCCAACTTTTCCTCCCAGCTTGTCTCCTAAGTCAAGGTTTAGAGTCTCCCTAGTCATCTAGCCCATAGGTGTGTGTGTGTGTGTGTGTGTGTGTGTGTGTGTGTGTGTGTGTGTAGGGGGGGTGTCTGCTCTCCCTAGTTACCCAAACTAGAGCCCTAAGTGAACGCCACCCCTCTTGGGGGCTCCTGAGAGTGTCTCGGCCTTGGAGAAAGGAAGC